TAAAGTGAGAGCAATTAGACTAGTTTTTTCATCGTGCATCCATGCCAAAGTAGCATGTAATAAGTCAAGAATTTCTTTTATCTAATTTCAAGCGCATCAACATCTCTGAGGACTTAATAGACTTATGGTTTAATTATTATTTTATTTATTTTTAAATTAAATATAAAGAAAGACCCTGCTACACTCTCTTATGATTTAATAGACTTATGGTTTATTTTTCATCTAAAATTCTTGCTGATCTGAAAGCTGCATAATGTTACTTTCATCCAATCAACACCAAATTCAATCTACGTTTCCATTCAATGACACATTTCATAGAGTCTATATCGCCATATTCTCATTAAAAAAAAATTAAGAGACAATTACATATCAACACGTGGCAAACATAAAATTTTTTAGACGTGTAGAAACTTTGCAGATCAACAACAAATATAAGGCGACAAATCGAACAAATAAAAATACAAAGAATACTGATATTTTTAACGTGAAAATCCCCTCAATATGAGAGTAAAAATCACGAGTCATCCAAACTAAATAAATAACTCCACTATAATCAATTAAGGTTACAAGAGAGTCATAAAGTGATTCACAAATTAGTGCTAAGAACCGCAAATCACAAAGCAAACTAGGTTACAAATAAGAATAAAAAAGCTGAAAATTTTTCCAAATTTGTAGCTTCAGTGCAAAGTAGATAATCTCATCTCAGACGTTGTTTTGAAATTCTGAACGGTCAAAAATTATATACATGTGTTATGAACCTGCCCTCCAAATTTGAGCTTGATCTGACGGTTAACGAATTGAGAATCGTCGATTTAGTGAGACTGGTTACAAAAAAAACGGAATGAGTTTCTCTCATCTTTTCTCTCTTTTGAATCCTTATTTTCTCTATCTCTCTCGATCTTAAATTGATCATCTCCACTTAAATAAGTGATACAAATGGGTCAATCATATTTGAGTCTTTTTCCACATAAGAAGGGACCTCATACCCAACAAATCTCTCTCTCACAACTATGTGGAGGAAATCGCCAAACTAACGATATCACAATAAGCTTCAAATTTTCCACTTGGTAATGTTTTAGTCATCGTATCAGAACCATTATCATCTATATGAACTTTAGCTAACTCCAACAACTTTGCATCCAAAAGATCACATATCCAATGATATCTCACATCAATGTGTTTGGACCTATTATGAAAAATCGGATTCTTACAAAGATGAATAGTGTTTTGACTATCAATAAATAACATTTATTTGTCTTGAACAAAATCAAACTCCTACAAAAATTTCTTCAACCATAGTAACTGTTTGCATGCTTCAGTAATTGCAATGAAGCAACCCTCACAATAAAGGTTTTAGGCATCGTGAAGGTTTGATGAAGTTAAATAACACCACTGTTATTTTTGTTAAGTATTAACAAGTGTGAGTAGGGTGGATAATAGTCCCACATTGGATAGAAATGTGGTGATTTGAGCATTTAGAGCATCTCCAACCGTGAACTCATTTTTGGGTTCTTTGTGGGATTTATTAAGCCACGTCAGCTTGAAGCAACTCAATTAATTTTTCGCTCCAATGGTGCAATTCTGAAGAACTCATATTGGGTCCCACAAGTTTACTTTATATGTTAATATTTTATTCATATTAAATTTTATATCACTTAAAATAATAATTTTAATTTTTTTACAGAAAATTATTTCAGTCTACTATATAGTCCAACCGGTATATAGTGTTGTTTTAAGGAAAAATATTTCATTCTACTATATAAACTTAAAAAAAATTAGATTAAACTTTAAAAAATATTTCAATCTCTCCTTGGTTAATTTTAGTGTTTTAAATTAAATTTGATATAAAATAAAAAAAGTTAAAATTAATATTATAATTTAAAATAAATAAAAATAAAATAAATAAAATTCAAATTAAACTTATAATTTAAACTTATAATTAAAATATAGTTTTTATATTATAAAATCAATATTTTAATATTGTAATTATAATTTTTATGTGATAATTAAAATGATAAATAAAATTTTATATTAAATTATAATTTTTATATTATAAAATTAATATTTTAATATAAGAACAGTTGAAGAACTGTTGCTTAATTAAGCACCGTTCAACAACATGGCAATTTTGAAAATAGCAAATATGAGTGCCATGTTGGCAAACTCACTCTAAGAACTCCCATTGGAGTTGGTCTTATAAGTGAGAGAACCCATACACCTATTACCTTAAGATTTTGGGTGAGTATGTGGTGTGTCTCTCACAAAGGTTGCTCTAGGAAAAAAAAATCTCACTATGTTCAATAAGTTACATCAATATGATATCTAATCATATGATATCAAATCAAAACAATAAATTACATTTAACAATTTTGAAGTGTGCCACTTTTGATTGTTTTTATACTTTTCTTTAATTCTCTTTCGTTCTTCGTGTTGTATTTTACTTCAATATCATCTTAACTATTATAATAAAATACTGTGAAATTTGTCAAATTAAGATGATTTTAACACAATTTGGTCTTTTCCACAAATACTCAAAATCTTTATTAAACCATATAAAACGAAAATGCATTAATAGTAAAAAAAATTTTAAAACAAAAAATTTAAGTACTAAAACCATAGTGTGACTGACTTCTATCACAATCCCAAATATAAACATTTCCCTGTCATCAAGAAAATGCTTGAAAAGTGACATTTAAGAAAAGTTGGATTTTTCCCTTTGATGAAAATTTATAAGCTGACGCTACTTGGTAGAATAGTACCATGTTCATACTCAATTTCCATTTCCATTCTCATACCTTGGGTTGGATGACTCAAAGTATTTTACTATTTCTTCATATTTATTTAATATTTTCTATCTTCTCAACAATTCACTCAATGAAAACTTTCACTCAATCAACATGCATAGATCATTTTATCATAGGCTTTAAAAATGTCTAAAGAGTCTATCAAATTATTATCACACACATGCACGCACGCGCATACACACACTCAACGCGTGCACGCGCACACACATGCGCGCGCAGGCACACATGTACGCACACGCACGCACACACACGTGCGCACGAGCACACACATGCACACACATTTTATTTTTCCCACTTCAATCAGGCACACATGTACGCACGCACGCACACACATGCACGCACACGTACACACGTGCGCACGAGCACACACATGCACACACATGCACACACATTTTATTTTTCCCACTTCAACCATTTACTAAATTTCTTGAGCAATTAGAGACTTTTTATTTTTTCGGTACCCATTTATTTCTTTTTCTTTTTCTTTGACTATCTATTTCCATCTTCTTTTTCAAAATTTGTTTTTACTGTGCATACTCTTAGGACCACCACCTGAAACTAAACAAAAACATATAATTCAAACACTTTCATTAATTAGAGACTTTTTATTTTTTCGGTACCCATTTATTTCTTTTTCTTTTTCTTTGACTATCTATTTTCATCTTCTTTTTCAAATTTTGTTTTTACTGTGCATACTCTTAGGACCACCACCTGAAACTTAACAAAAACATATAATTCAAACACTTTCATTAACATAAACAGACGTTTGTTGCTGCCCAGGATCGAACTGGAGACCTTCAGTGTGTAAGACTGACGTGATAACCACTACACCACAGCAACTTCGCTGATGAGTATTATTATAATACATTACTAAAACGGTTTTAACGCCTAAAGAACGTTTTGAAATACATCATTCATACATAATGTAGTTGTTTTAATATTCTTAATATAATGTATGTAAATGACAATAATTAAATAAAATTTTTATTTTATTTTGTATCTTTAAAATTGAGTACACTGCATATACATTTGACCTATGATCGATGTTTGTTTGATATAAGTTATTTAATTAAATCTAATGTATATATCATTAGTCTTTTAAATAAAAATAGGACTAATGATAATGATAATACACATATTTGTGTTAATCATAAATATAATTAGGATAATGATAATTTGGTGCAGTAGTAGGATTAATTTGTCGATTCTAACGTGAATACTTAATCACCTTTATAATCTTATATTTTCCAAAGTAAAAACAAACCCCCTTTAAATTATGTTAACTCAAACTTGTTTATCTCGTTAAAATTCAATCCTCGTGAATACAAATATTATTTTATTACTTTAATACATACTAATACACTCTAATTTTGTCATTAGTAATCAATTAACATTTTAAAAGTTTCAGGCATATTTAAATATAGACAATCAATAATGATTATTACCCCAAAGGCATAATCGATTACCAATGCTGAGATGGAATATTTCATAAATACCAAATAGTGAGATATAACATTTCTTGAAATCAGTGCCATGGCAATGTTGTGTTATGGTTCATGTTCATGGTGTCTTTCCAAAGTATTGTCTTGGTACATGATAATTTCTATGCGTGTATAAATACTAGTTTACATTTGAAAATGAAATTAACAATTTTCAAAAGTGTTTTGAAACTTTGTGAACTTTTGAATATTAGAAAAAGTTTATGAACATTAAGACATTATGAGCATTAAACTGATAATATATTTAAAAGGTAAGTAAAGTCTACAATCCTAAGTTTGGATTTGACAATAAAACAACATTCTTCAATTCTCAATAATTTTCAAATGCTAATATTTTATTTTTAATCTCAACATCCAAATCTTCATCAATGATCATCAAGTCTAGCCGGGTTAAACAACCCAATCACAATTTCTTCCTTTTCTTAACAATATTGTACAAGTCAAATTTATCGAGATTTTCTCAATCCACTCTCTAAACGCAGAGGATTTGTCAGATGCGTATTATCTAAAAATGAGCATATAGGAGAGTGGATTGATAAACTGTCAAATTTGTCGTCTAAATTTTGATTCACCCTTTTCATAATCAATTTTTATATTACAAATTATACAACAAAATATGATTTCTCAGTAGTGACGTAGGGTCATTGATGACCTTTGGTGATAAATAACAGCATCATGATGCATCCAAATTTTATTATTATACACAGCCTTGATCAGTCATGGCTTGAGCTATAGTAAGAAAGGCAGAGATAACTGCTCCATGTACCAAAGCCCTGACAATTAATTAAATTAAGTGGTTATTAAAACATGAATATGTTTAAGAAAAGCTATTAATTAGAAATGCCAAAAAAAAGCACTTACTCGGGACTTTCCTTTTGATAACCGAAATCAGTTGCAGCTTTTATAGCTCTTTGATATGTTTGTTTCATTGCTTCCTGCCAAAAGAAAAAAGCAACACAAGTTGATATAACATTGATTATCAACAGAGGTTTTTTCTTGCGTTTGAGGAAAGGTGGAATCGTTAGTTGGTAGGTTTTCTGTTCAGAAGCTAAACAGGTAACTCAAAATACTAACATGGAAGAAAACAAAGAAAAAAAGTATGTAATGCTCAATAACCTCAAACTTGTCAAAAAGGAAAAGTTTGTGGTTTGATAGCTACCTGCAATTTAGATTCAAAGTCCTCTGGGGACCAGTTCATCAAACTGCACTCGTGGTTCAATTCAAGTTCTCCAGCCACGACCTACAAGCAAGGAGAACAAAAGATTAAAGGAAGGTCTATTCAATTTCCAAATGTCGCGCTTAATGCTGTTAATCAATCAGGAATACACTCGTGATGTTTTAGATATTATGAAATGAGAGGTTGGAGACGAGCTTTAGAAACGCATGGTTTTCGCCTAAGTATGAGACGGAGTATATGGAATGTAAGTTCTGCAAAAAGAGAAGTGTTTCTAACTTAAAGGTGAAAGTTGGAGACCATATCATCTTGAAAATCACATGGTTTGAATAGCTTGGGTCCGTAATACAAAATGATGGAGAACTAGAAGGGGATGTAAGGCATCGAATTCAAGCTGGGTGGCTGAAATGGAAGAGGGCTTCAGAGGTTTTATGTGACACAAAGGTATTGCTCAAGCTGAAGCGAAAATTTTATCAAACTGCGGTAAGACCTGTGATGTTGCACAGGACAAAATGTTGAGCGATTAATAATCAACATGAGAATAAAGTAAGTGTAGCAGAGATAAGGATGTTGCGTTAGATGTGTGATAAGACTAGACAAGATAAAATTAGAAATGACAATATTAAAGAGAGTGTTGGGGTAGCACCTATAGTAAAAAAGATAGTGGAAAATAGACGTAAGTGATTTGCACTTTTAGACCATGGGCCTCCATATTAAAAACACAAACTAGCCCACTATTATGCTCCCATACTGCAATTGGGTCTATACAATAATCTAACTGGTATCAGAACTTATCGTCCAGGACGCCCATCATTCATATCCAGGCACCAAGCCCAATAGTGTTAGGCGCGAGAGGTGTATTGCTAAAAACCAAAGTAGGAACGTGTGCAATTTACATAGGAAAGATTAAGTAAACATCTCACCCCTCCAGCACCAGCAGCCATTGCAGGAGCAACAAGAACATTAGCTTTCCTCAGAACTTGAACTGCATCAGGGGTACAGGGCATGTTTGAACCTAAGATTCAAATTATAAGTAGATTTCATTAGTCTAAATATAAGAAAGTTGAGAAAGAAAATGACAAATACATATCACATCTCGGAAATATAACTAACTACCTTCTATTAGTATGCGACATCCTGAATTAACCAAATTGATGGCATCAGCTTGATCAATCTCATTCTGTGTAGCACAAGCAAATGCAAGATCATATCTTTCAACCCAGGGTTTTGCTTCGTCATAATATTTGGACCGAGCATAGGTCTTTGAATAGTCTCTACATATGCCAATTCATGAACAAGAACCACAGCATCATATATAACTGCCGTCATGAAACATAAATGAACGACAGAAATGATACGAACCGCAAACTTCTATGCTGAGCTTTGATGTCTCTCAAAAATTGTACTTTCATGTAGTCAAATCCATCTTCATCAACCAAATATCCCCTAGAATCTGATTAATGTTTTAGTTAAAAAAACACGTACATGTCACTAACAATCCTATATTTTTTTACTACTATATTCATAAAAGAAAAGAAAAATTACCTGATACTGAAATGGGTAGAGCACCATATGCAATTAGCTTCTCTAAAACATGCAGTGCAATCTTTCCAGAACCACTTACAACACATCTACAGAAAATTCTATATTAGAAGAGCATTCCAGGATCACAATTCACGAATGTATGAAATAAATTTGGGAGACATCAAATGGTCTAAATTTAAAAAATAAATAAATAAATAAATAAATAAATAACCTTAATCCTTTGAGTTCTTTATTCATGTCGGCTAGCATGAGCTGGGCAAAGAAAACCTGCAGATGCATGAAAACCTTGTTAAATTTAATCTTGAAACAATAGATTCAGAAAAAACTTGGTGGTAACATTCTTGGTCAGAATGGACATGCATGGCGTACGCTCTTTATTCTGAAATGAAAAGTTAGTATATAGAAATGCAGGCTCGTGGAAACTTAAAGGACCTGCCACAACACGATCAAAGAAAAAAGAGAAAGAAAATGAAAGTCTACCATGTAGTACATGTTTTAGACATATAGATATACTCATTTACACGTCTCATTTCCACAAGAAGCAATTAAAAGTTGAAATTACCAGTCCATAGCCAGTAGCTTCAGGTCGAAGACTGGAGCCAGACCAAAATATTCTTGGCCCTGTAAAAGTTCCCTGCAGAAGTAAGGTATGCATATGAAAATCACATGACAATAAGAGTTTTTCTTTCTTCAATTAATGCCAGCATAATCAGAATCTCAAAATATCATGTTTCTAAACAGATTAGATATGTTATAGTGTACTATACATAATACATAATGTGGCATAATATGCACATTTATTTCTATGTAGCATAGCGATAACCCAAGAACATAAAGGCAAGGATAGCATACGGAAAAAATAAATAAAGAAATCTACAACAACAACAACAACTAAGCCTTCTCCCACTAAGTCGGGCCGGCTACATGGTTAAAATTAAAATTTGAATTTAAAAAAAAAAAAAAAAACTACAGCAACCAGATTAAAATTATGCATTGGTGTATACATTATGAGTATCACATTTGCAAAAAGAATTTGTCACGAAATAAGTTATTTTTCAGTTTCAATGTAATAAAAATTACTCTTCTCTAATTTTACCATCTAGTTAATACTATTTGAATCACTCACCACCTTGTATTTATGATAATAGTGAATACACCAATGCATTATAAGGTTGATTTAGTAAAAAGTTTGTTCTATTTATTTCATGTAAAGCTTATCCTTAATTTGTGACATAACATAGTATGACACTCATACTGGGATGGAGGGAGTAATACCTCTGGCCATTATGATTTACATTTATTGATGTTTTTGATGAAGCTACACAACTTTAGATAAGGAACGAGAGAAGAGAAAAGAATGAAGACTTTGCAATAGTGATTAGGTTTTTGATATTAAAGAATAAACAGTAAATCTTATTGATGCATTAGACTCCTGGTAGATATTGACGACGTCTGGGTTCCACCAGCAGATAAAGGGTCTACTTCATAGTATTGTAACCTAATTGGATGTAACTTACTCAATTTCAAAACAGCTTTTACGTCTCCCTGTTCCTCATGCTTTCGTTCAAGCACCATTGTTCTGAATCCTTCTTCTGCGCACAAGTTCTGTGACGCTCCAGTTCCCACCGTTCTTTGATTTTGAGTTCTCTGGTTTGCTTCTATTCCGCAAGTGTATCGTGAGGACGCACCGTTACTTATTCAATTGCAATTGACTATATAGTCAATGGTTCAGTTGCGCAATTGATGGAGAAGGGGTCGAGTGTTGAAGTTGTGTAATTGATGTTTCTGATTCTACCTAGGCGTTAATTTATGAATCAAGGTTTGAGAGCACGGTGAGGCTTTAATTCTGGTTTCAAGTTAAGAGTTTGTTGGGTAGTAGAGAGGGTTCAACACTCATCTATATCTTGTTCAACATTCATCCTTGTTTAACTTTGAATAAGTATCTGTTTCATTTGTGGATTCTTAATGTAACATCGTAATTATCATAGTGAACTCGAATTTCATTATGCATATTATATACTACATATCATGAAAACTATTATTGTGGTTGTTCCTATTTTATAATTAGTTGGTATTTAACAATGCTTTAATTACCTGAAAATGACCAACTAGACGTCTATACTGTCCAAAAAGATACCCCATCTCGCGAGTACCAACGCCCATCTCCTCCGATGGAAGGTCCTAATATATATCGCAAGAATAATATGATGATCAGGCCTTCAACATGAATAGATAAATAAAGATAAAGGAAAAATGTACTTTCAGTTACCTTGTCAGGACCAAGGTAATGATACATCTCGCACATGAAACTCTGGCAAAATCGCATAATCTGCAACCATATCAAATTAATATTTAGTACTTATAATTTTTTAAACTACACAAGATGAGATTAAACTGATAACTCACCTCATTCTCACTTTTGCCTTTTGGATCAAAATCACTTCCACCGGCTGCTCCTCCTAATTTGTAAGGTGATAGAGCATTCTTTAACGTCTGCATATAAGAAGTTTCGTATAAAATTGATGTAAAAATAATAGGAAGTACCAAAACTATTGGTAATTACCTGCTCAAAGCCAAGGAATTTGGTAATACTTAAATTCACTGACGGGTGAAATCGAATGCCACCCCGACATGGACCCATTGACTGGTTAAATTGTACTCGAAACCCCCTATTAACGTGTGTCTCACCCCTATCATCCACCCATGGAACTCTAAAAATAATCATTCGTTCAGGTTCCAACAATCGCTCCATGATGTTAACATAACTGAAACATGAAAACATAAGGTTTGTCATATGTAATAATAAATAAATAAAAATTATACAATTATAACCATTTGAACAAAACTCACTGAGAATTTTTCCCGATGACTCTCTCAAGAGCTTGAACTACCTCCTGGACTGCCTGAATGAACTCAACCTCATGAGGATCCCTTTTTAGTGTTGCTTCAAGAATTGATCCCGCTGTTTTTGACATTACGGCTTCAATTATGAAACTTGTCAGGCAATACCCAAAAGAATGCAAACATTTTTATCAAGAAAATGAATAGCGCACAGATAAGTATCAAGATATTTAATCTTTAAATTGAAAAACAAAAATTCAATCAAGAAGAAAAGAAATAAGACTTGAAATTAGCCATAGAAGTATGATAATGTTTCTAATGAAACTAAAAACAGTATTTGCACATTTGCACATGTCAGTTAATATAGTAGCGTGCGGAGATGGCCAACCTTTTACATATACAGGCTTGTCAGCCATAATTTTATCTTTGGAGGCCGATTGAAGACGAAGAGCCTCTTTGTGAAGCAAACTATTATTGTGTTCCTCGAGCGCACTCATCTGCATGTTACGACTTCCCTCATTACCGTAAGGATTTCTTCGATGCTTCCGGCCAAATTCCCTACAGACAGAGCAGAAAATCCTCGGTGTCCCGTCTTTCACATCGACATAGGCCCATTTGTAGGTGTCTGCCCATTCCTCTCTCCATCTTTTAACAACCTTTTTCTTCCTTTTCACCTGTTGGGTCTGAGACATATCTTGAACATCATTAGAAAGCTGAGAAACCACCATCATCTGCTTGCTCTCGCCATGATCCTCCGCAGAAGATTCCCGCAACGGCGCACCAATTAGTGTTGTATTACCAAATGAAGGATCATCTTCCCCGGGTCCAATTTCTAAATCAATCTCTTCACCAATCTCCCTCACAACCAAGTGATGCCTCTGTGCTTGCTGAATCAAATTCATATCATCCATTGCAGAATTCATCCCTACTCCAGTGGTTCGCTGCAACATTCAGCATCACAACGCAACCCTCTCCATAAATCTAAAATTATCCGCTTTCTGTCAATACCAATACAACAGTTGAACATCTTACCTCTTTTAGAGTTAGTATATAATCATAAAAAAAGCGTTAACAAAATAGTGGCAAAAGGGGAAAAAAACTGTTCCCGAGTGGCAAACTATGAAGCATGAACAGAGACACCAAATATGACACCAACACCGACACATGTAACATCTGATACGCCATCAATCTGAAGTATCAGTGCTATATAGGTGAAAAATGTTAAGACAACTCAGCTTCATAGAATTGCATAGCTTAATTCATAGACTAATTTCTAACCATACAAGAAATAAAACCAACCTATCTCACTAGTATAAAGTCAAAACAGTAGCATTGTCAAAGCCAATTTTCATCCATTCAAAACCACAATAAACAAAAGTCACAAACACAAATATAATTCCAGTGTTCAAACTTAACAAAAATCTCTCACAACTTCCCTCAACACTAGATTCAGTAAGTGCCCATTTCAATTCACAATTATCTACACCAGAAGACACAACAAAACATCATAATTTTCAGCAAATAAGTAATTGAGGAAAAAAAGTTCAGTTTTTTCCTATGACCCACAAATAATAATCAAATTTACACAACACCCATAAGCTTAATTTCATCGCAGAGCTCAAATACCTTGAGAATTCGAAAGAAATTGATAAACTTGAAAAACGGGATTTTTGAGCATCTTTTTCTTCTACAAATATATAATACCGGAGAGTGTTCTCGTTGGAAAGAGAGATCAAAGGGGGGAAATTTCAAGGCGTTATTGAAGGAAAAAGAAGGAAAATTGGATATGAATTGGAGAGGTTAAGGTTTGTGTGCGGAACAAAACAAGGGGACAAGGTTTGTGATTTCAATAATGTTTTTTTGGTGTCTTTGAAATCGAAATGTAAGAGTGGTGAAGATTAACGTAATTGATGAGTGATGCGATGGGGATTGTGATGATCATCCAGAAACACTAGGGTGTTTTTTTTTTTTTTTTTCTTTTCTTTTCAATTTTTTTCTATGTTGTTTCTATGATTTTGCTATTTAGGATCAAATTATAAACCTTTCCTATTATGTTTTATATATTTATTTGTTTTATGAAATTTTTTTGCTTGTTTTCTCATTTAGTAGTCTAATAGCATTCGTTACGGATTTGTATTTTATTTAGAAGTCTAATGATTAGAAAGTAAAAGTAGATGATGGTGTTTGTGTCTTCTAATCCGGAAGAAGAAAAATCCGTCTAAATTGGAAGAATTTCGATCAATTTCATTAGTCGGATGCATCTATAAAAATAATTGCAAAGGTGCTAGCAAATAGGCTTAGAAAAGTGATAAATTCAATTATATCATAAATGTAGTTAGTTTTTATCTCGAGATAACAAATTTTAGACGATATTTTAATCGTCAACGAAGTTATAGATGAAGCGAAACAGAAGAGAAAGGAAGTGATTCTGTTAAAGGTCGACTTTGAAAAGACATATGATTCGATGAATTGAAATTTTTTTGATTTGGTGATGGTTAGGATGAGATTTCACGATAAATGGAGAAAGTGAATTGTTGAATGTTTAAGCTCGTCTATGGTGTCGGTATTGGTGAATGGAAGCCTTACAAAAGAGTTTAGGGTCGGAAGAGGATTGAAGCAAGGAGATTCTTTATCTTCTTTCTTATTTCTTCTTGTGGCAGAAGGTTTCAATATTCTTATGAGTAGAGCAGTATAGTTGGGTAAGTTTAGCGGATACAAAATCGAAAATGGAAAGGAAAGGTATTCTGATTTGCATTACGCAGATTACACGTTAATTATTGGTGAAAAAAAGGGAGAATATTATGTGTATGAAAGTGAATATGTCCTTATTTGAAATGATGTCGGGTTTAAAAGTTAACTATCAGAAAAGTTGCTTAATTGGTGTTAACATATGTCAATGTTGGCTCACGGATGCAGCCAAATCTCTAAGGTGTAAGGTGGGTTCGTTACCATTCACTTATTTAGGGTTACCGATTGGTGTTAATTATAGAATTGAGAAGACTTGGAAACCAATTTTGGATTTGGTTAGAGTTAGACTATCAAAGCGGAAGCATGAGAATTTGTCCATTGGCGGTAGAGTGGTTGTGTTAAAATTTGTCTTGTCGGCGATCCCTATCTATTTCTTTTCCTTCTTTAAAGCTCCTATAGGTATTATGTCTAAAATTGAATCTCTTTTTAAACAATTTTTTTGGGGCGGTGATGAGAATGGGAGAAAAATCAATTGGATCAAATGGGAGATGTTATGCAGACCTGTAGAAAATAGGACATGGTTATTAAAAAATTAAGTGTCTTCAATAAGTGTCTAATAGGTAAATGGGTGAGGATAATTAGTAAGGAGAGAGTTGGCCTTTGGTATAAGGCCTTAGTGGAGAGATATAGCACCAGTGAGGGATTGACAAGAGTTTTCGATGAGTACAGTTTGTCGTGGTGGAGAGACATATGTCGCGTAGATATAGGAGAGATAGAAAATATGGAAATGTATTTTGTCAATGAGAGGTAAAAGATTTTGAGGGTTATAAACGGGTCAGGATATAGTCTGGATTTGTCGTTGGTGTGGCATAAGTTGGTCCCATTAAAAGTATTGTGTCTAATTTGGAGGCTATTTCATGATAGACTTCCGACTAAAAATAACTTAGTAAGAAGAGGAGCCATATGTCAAATGAGCAATCTATGTGCGAGCAGGTGTGGTGAGGAGGAGACGTCATCTCACCTTTTCTTCGAGTGTCCTAATTTTGTAGGTATTTAGTAACGTGTAATCAGATGGATTGGCGTGTCTGTTGCTTTTCCACGGAAGAGTTGGGATCATCTTAAACAGTTTGAAGTTATTTCTAGGAACGAGAAGATTATCAAAAGGGTCAGGGTGGTGTGTTTCGCGTGCATATGGAACATTTAAAAGGCAAGGAATAATTGCATTTTCAATAACAAAGTTGTTTCCTTCGACCAGATTCTTGAAAGTGTTCAAAGGTTCTCTTGGAATTAGTTGAGAGGCAAACACAATAATCTTGGATGTAACTTGCTGCAATAGCATCTAAATCCTCTTATTATTTTTGGTTAGGGGTTTGATTGCAGGCCATATTGCTGTTGGTATCCTAGTGTGAGGTGGCATGTCTTCTTAGTTGGTTTTGTTCTCAATCTAGTGCTCATGATCAATAGAGAAGTGCTTTATTTTGTTGGTCTGTACTTTGACTTAGTGTGCTTCTATTTGTGGATATCTTATGCAGGATTGAGTCTATTTTATTTATTATATATTATTTTGCCTCTTAAAAAAAATGTCTCTATAATTATTAACTCCATAAATCCTAGCTAATTGGAAAATATCTATAAATGATTACTAATCATATTTCTCTCTTTGAAAATCTTTAAAAAAAAAATATTGTGTACTTGCTAAAAAAAAGTACAATAAAGGTAATCATGTAATTGGATTGTTGTTTGTGATGTCTAGGATTGTTAAGGATGTTTAGAATTAGCTCAAACAAAGTGATGGGAAGTTCTGTATATGTGTTAATGAGAAAAATTGAAGATCACTCCTCAAGCCTAAGACTTAGATATTTATAGAGGTTTTTTACTTGGCTAAAAAATGGTTACCTCACCTCCTCCATCAGAAACATAGAGAGAAAGAGAAGTAGTCTTCCTTAGATCATGATGAAGGTGGCTATCCTCTTTAACCCTCTTTTCTAGTCTGTTGCTATGGAACACGTCATTTCCCACATCCAATAGACAAATGGACAGTGGGAATGAGTTTAGGTGGACTAAGAGCAACCGGGCTGGTTGGGACTAAGATCCATGCATCCTCATGGCCCATTTTGGGTGGCATATGGCTTTGTATAATAACCCGTCCCTTGTTAGTGTGTCTTTCATTCCTTACGAACATTATCCCTTTTTAGGGCCTAATAAAATGATATTGGTACACAATCTTCCAAGGACAAGGGCTTGAAAATGACAAAGTGACTAATTATAGCATTCACAATTTTTATATGCATATTAACCCAAAAGAGCTCTTAAGGTCAAATATGGGACGAGTTTCTCAAGCAAGATTTGTAAAGGCGAGTCCTTCAAGCAAGACTTGTAAAAGTGAATCTCTCACGCGAGACTTAAGTTGTGTGCCTCAAGCGAGACTTTAGGTTTAGTCCCTCGTGTGATACTTTAATGCTTTGTTTGAGAGTTTGGAGGGGAGGGAAAGAGATTTCTTTAAATGATTTTTTTTCAATATTAATAAATCTTTAACATATTTTGAAAAATAAATTTCACATAGAATGATAAAAAAAAAGTGCTTATTATTAACATATTTTTATTTTTTGGAATAATATAACAATATAAATTTTATTTGAACAATTTGTTTGAGCCCTACAAAATCCTTCAAACCCCTCCTCCAATACAATTTTTCAGTTCCCCAAATTAAGGAGACTTTGGTCTTTGAATAAAAATAAATCCCCCAAAACCATCCCCACCTAAATTCTTTTATTCTTTTCAGTCAATCCTTTCTTTTTCTTTTTCAAAGCATCCCCTCATTTCCTCTTCAAACTCTCAAACGGAGTCTAAGGCTAGGGTATTTATAGAAGTTTCTTACGTCTGGGCTAGAACGTGGTTACATCAGCTCCTCCATCAGAAATGAGGAGAGAACAGGAGTTATTCTTCCTTAGAGCATGGAGAATGTGGTTATCCTCTTTGACTCTCTATTCTAGTTCGTTGTGATATGAAACGTCATCTTCCACGCCCACTAGGTACATGGGCAGTGGGGATGAATTCGGGTGGACTAAGCCTAGTTGGTCAGGTTGTTACTAAGATTTAGGCAACCTCATGGTCCATTTCACATAACATATGTCTTCGCAGGACAACTCGCCCCTCGCCAATGTCTTTTTCCTTCTTTACATAGACTATCCCTTTTTAGGGCCCAATATAGTTATTAAAGTACACATTGTAATTTTTTTTAGCAAAATATTTTGTTATAGGA